CAGAGATCTTGGCCTGTAGTTTTCTTTCTTTGTGACATCTTTGTCTGGTTTTGGCATCAGGGTGATGGTGGCCTCGTAGAATGAGTTTGGGGGTGTCCCTCCCTCTACCATATTTTGCAAGAGTTTGAGAAGGATCGGTGTTAGCTCTTCTGTAAATGTTTGATAGAATTCGCCTGTGAAGCCATCTGGTCCTGGGCTTTTGTTTGTTGGAAGGTGTTTAATCACAGTCTCAATTTCAGTGCTTGTGATTGGTCTGTTTATATTTTCTATTTCTTCCTGGTTCAGTCTTGGAAGGTTGTGCTTTTCTAAGAATTTGTCCATTTCTTCCAGGTTGCCCATTTTATTGGCATAGAGTTGCTTGTAGTAATCCCTCATGATCCTTTGTATTTCGGCAGTGTCAGTTGTTACTTCTCCTTTTTCATGTCTAATTCTTTCGATTTGAGTCTTCTCCCTTTTTTCCTTGAAGAGTGTGGCTAATGGTTTATCAATTTTGTTTCTCTTCTCAAAGAACAAGGTTTTAGTTTTATTGATCTTTGCTATTGTTTCCTTCATTTCTTTTTCATTTATTTCTGATCTGATCTTTATGATTTCTTTCCTTCTGCTAACTTTGGGGGTGTTTTCGTTCTTCTTTCTCTAACTGCTTTAGGTGTAAGGTTAGGTTGTTTATTTGAGACGTTTCTTGTTTCTTGAGGTAGGAGTGTATTGCTATAAACCTCCCTCTAAGAAATGCTTTTGCTCTGTCCCATAGGTTTCGGGCTGTCATGTTTTCATTGTCATTTGTTTCGAGGTATTTTTTCATTTTCTCTTTGATTTCTTCAGTGATCTCTTGGTTATTTAGCAATGTATTGTTTAGCCTCCATGTGTTTGTATTTTTTACAGTTTATCTCCTGTAACCGATAATCTAGTCTCATAGCGTTGTGGTCGGAAAAGATACTTGATACGATTTCAATTCTCTTAAATTTACCAAGGCTTGATTTGTGACCCAAGATATGATCTATCCTGGAGAATATTCCATGAGCACATGAGAAGAAAGTGTGTTCTGTTGTTTTCGGATGGAATTTCCTATAAATATCAATTAAGCTCATCTTAAGCCATCATAATGTATCATTTAAAGCTCGTGTTTCCTTACTTATTTTCATTTTGGTTGATCTGTCTTTTGGTGAAAGTGGGGTGTTAAAATCTCCTACTATTATTGTGTTACTGTCAATTTCCCCTTTTATGGCTGTTCGCATTTACCTTAGGTATTGAGGTGCTCCTATGTTGGGTGTCTAAATATGTACAGTTGTTATATCTTCTTGGATTTGATACCTTGGTCATTATGTATGTCCTTCTTTGTCTCTTGTAATAGTCTTTATTTTAAAGTCTATTTTGTCCGAAATGAGAATTGCTACTCCAGCATTCTTTTGATTTCCATTTGCGTGGAATATCGTTTTCCATCCCCTCACTTTCAGTCTGTACGTGTCCCTAGGTCTGAAGTGGGTCTCTTGTATACAGGATGTATACGGGTCTTGTTTTTGTATCCATTCAGCCAGTCTATGTCTTCTGTGGGAGCATTTAATCCATTTACATTTAATCCATCTACATTTAAGGTAATTATCGATACTATGGTCCTATGACCGTTTTCTTAAGTGTTTTGGGTTTGTTACTGTAGGTCTTTTCCTTCTCTTGTGTTTCCTGCCTAGAGAAGTTCCTTTAGCATTTGTTGTAAAGCTGGTTTGGTGGTGCTGAATTCTCTCAGCTTTTGCTTGTCTGTAAAGTTTTTAATTTCTCCATTGAATCTGAATGATATCCTTGCTGGGTAGAGTAATCTTGGTTGTAGGTTTTTCCCTTTCATCACTTTAAATATGTCCTGCCACTCCCTTCTGCTTTGCAGAGTTTCTGCTGAAAGATCAGCTGTTAACCTTATGGGGCTTCCCTTGTGTGTTATTTGTTGTCTTTCCCTTGCTGCTTTTAATATTTTTTCTTTGTATTTAATTTTTGATAGTTTAATTAATATGTGTCTTGGTGTGTTTCTCCTTGGATTTATCCTGTATGGGTCTCTCTGTGCTTCCCGGACTTGATTGACTATTTCCTTTCCCACATTAGGGAAGTTTTCAACTATAATCTCTTCAAATATTTTCTCAGTCCCTTTCTTTTTCTCTTCTTCTTCTGGGACCCCTATAATTCGAATGTTGGTGCGTTTAATGTTGTCGCAGAGGTCTCTGAGACTGTCCTCAGTTCTCTTCATTCTTTTTTCTTTATTCTGCTCCGCAGCAGTTATTTCCACTGTTTTATATTCCAGGCTACTTGTCCGTTCTTCTGCCTCAGTTATTCTTCTATTGATTCCTTCTAGAATATTTTTAATTTCATTTATTGTGTTGTTCATCATTGTTTGTTTGCACTTTAGTTCTTCTAGGTCCTTTTTAAACATTTCTTGCATTTTCTCCATCCTACTCCCAATATTTTGGATCATCTCATTATCATCACTCTGAATTCTTTTTCAGGGAGACTGCCTATTTCCTCTTCATCGGTTAGGTCTGGTGAGGTTTTACCTTGCTCCTTTCATCTGCTGTGTATTTCTCTGTCTTCTCATTTTGTTTAACTTACTGTGTTTGGGGTTTCCTTTTTGCAGGCTGCAGGTTCTTAGTTCCCGTTGTTTTTGGTGTCTGCCCCCAGGGGCTAAGGTTGGTTCGGTGGGCTGTATAGGTTTCGTGGCGGAGGGGACCGGTGCCTGTGTTCTGGTGGATGAGGCTGGATCTTGTCTTTCTGGGGGGCAGGACTGTTTCCTGTGATGTGTTTTGGGGTGTCTGTGAACTTATTATGATTTTAGGCAGGCTCTCTGCTAATGGGTGGGGTTGTGTTCCTGTCTTGCTAGTTGTTTGGCATAGGGTGCCCAGCACTGGAGCTTGCTGGTCGTTGAGTGGAGCTGGGTCTTAGCGTTGAGTTGGAGATCTCTGGGAGAGCTCTCGCCAATTGATATTACGTGGGGCCAGGATGTCTCTGGTGTTCCTATATCCTGAACCCAGATCTCCCACCTCAGAGGCTCAGGCCTGACACCTGGCCAGAGCATCAAGACCCTGTCAGCCACATGGCTTTTGGGAAGTCTGAGGTCTTCTGCCAGCGTTCTGTAGATTTTCTGTAGGAGTTGTTCCACATGTAGATGTGTTTCTGATGTATTTGTGAGGAGGAAGGTGATCTCCAAGTCTTACTCCTCCGCCATCTTGAAGGTCCCCCTAAAGGGTATTTTTTTAAGTTTAGTTTAACTATAGCAAAGATGCTCTGTGTGATTTCATTACCAGTATTATTCAGCCAATGCTTTCTTCATAAATAGAAGTAAAATTCAACCTAGTCCTTGCTGAATTTTCATAAATTCTTAATTACTGGGATTCAAAATAATGAGGCCTCATTGCACATTTCTGAAGAAAGATTTTCAAATACTTTAATCTTTTCCTTCCTATGTTTATTTCTTAATCTCACGCTTTGGCACACCATGTGCCTTCCACTCCCACTGAAGCAGATAGCACCTTGAAAACCCACACAAAAATGTAAATCTGAGAAATAAATATGTGTGGTTGGTTTGAAAAGAGTAAGAATTAACATTTAAAGCAATGGTAATTTACTCTGATCTGTAATTTTGAGCTCCTATGCTGAAATTGTTCATTTGGAAATTACCAAGGGCTTGGGTCTCATTTGTGATCTTCTTCCTGCATATACACCCAGCACACAGAGGAGTCGTAATGACCGGCTGAGTCACTGCTGACATCTCCCCGAAGCGTGTTCTCCAAATGTCAATACCATTTTCTATGGTGCAGTGAAGAAGATTCCCAACCATAACCTGCTTAAAGTACAGGGTGAGCCTGAGGTGGCACAGAACCTGCAAAGTGTTCAGAGGGCAGCACAATCATCCTCCATTCGCTACTCCTCCAGTAGTCAAATTATTAGGCCACAGATCATTTTGGCCTTGGAAAGCATCCGCATTACCCACTCCCATTAGTCATTACCTAAATACAAACGGAAAACAATTTAAATTTAATGGGGCAAAAGGAGCTGCTTTTGACCATATCCCAATAAAATGATGTCTATACCTGATGAAACTATACTCGGATTATGAATTCATACCAGAAGCAAAAATATAGACATGATGTAACATTAGAGACATGAATACTCTAAAAGACCAGCACATACGAAATCCTTGTGCTCTTCTGTGGTTCATACAGATATGCTGTTCTTTCCAACTTCTCAAACCCTGACTCCAAAAAGGTTACCCAAAACTCAGGCATCAGATCTTTTCTCTTTCCCATGCAGCATAGATCCAGCGTGTTAGTCGTTAATAGCTGTCTGATATAAATTAACTAAAAAGGAACCAAGAATCTCTAATCAAATGAATTGAGAAAGGGGAAGAACTTAGGAAGACTTAATATGATTGAACTTTTTCATAATACTGTCAACAAAGAAACAGTACGATACCTCTGTTATAGACTGTTTTTGTCAGGTCTTCTGAGAGCTATGTTGCTTGGGAGACATAATTTACTTCGTTGGATAGTCATATCCATGTAAGGATAAGTCATATTATAATCAGGTTCTATCTCTACTAAAGCTATTTCTAATTCTGAAGATTGTTGTTGTGAAGATGAAAGAAATGAGCTTCAACCAAAATAGGACAGATTGTGGCCAGAAATAAGAAAGAAGCTACTGGCATCCATCCCATAAATATTTTGATAATGCCTGTCAATAAAAACAATTAGGTACTATAATTCAGGTGTGATTGCTTAAGTACAGGCTTGATAAACACCTAGCCCGGTGCCCCCAAGTTGAAGAATCTTCTTTCCTTTCAATCAGGATAGAGATGCCAACTGTCTGGAAGGTTAAGGCTGAGGTTATGAGTAAGCCTGCTGCCCACAGTGGATAAGGTCCAAGGGGACCCAATAGACTGTGCATAAAAACTCAGCAGAACCTTTAAAACCTATGGAAAGATTTTTAAAAGAAAAAATAATCAATGTAGCTGTCTTCCCTTCGTTCAGGATTTTCCATCCTCCAAGCGATTATGGAAGCAGCAGTGCAAAACAACTGGCAAGTGACAGCAAGGTCTGTGGGAAACATAAAGGACGTCCAAGAATTCAGGCGCATCATTGAAGAAATGGACAGGAGGCAGGAAAAGCGATACTTGATTGACTGCGAAGTTGAAAGGATTAACACAATTTTGGAACAGGTACGTTTGAGATTTATTCCACGCCCAGCCAACCTGTTAAATCATCAACCTGAGGCAGTTCCCATATCTGCTAATAAATTAAGTAGCCAACAGACTAAACTTGCCAACAGTTTTGATAGTGTCTCTAATCCTTTTTTCCTCCCCAGTGGCTGCAGAAAAGGAGAGAGAGAAATAAAAGAAAATCTAAGCGGTTGAAAATTGCATACCATGATTAATCTGGTAGTCTCTGCAATTTAATGCTACTTATCAGATAAACACACCCTTTCACAACTCTGTTTCACAGATAGCTGTCTATTTCAAACTAAACCCCTTCCTTTCGACACCTTCCTCCCAGCAAGGAACAGACAAGGGATTAGGCAGGGCAGAAGGGTAGGGTTTTTGTTTCAGGGGCCTAGTTGCAAAGTATCAGAGCAGTATTCACTAGGTTTGAATTTGTCGATATTTTTGAAGAACATCCCTCTGGTTTGAAAGAGAGAGCAAGAGAGAATGAATGGGAATATGTATATATATAATTGCAGACCATTTTTAAAGTAAGATGGCATATGAGAAAAAATAATGTTTATCGTTTTTAAAATGTGAAAAAAAGTGAAAAAGCATCAGACTGGGGAAAAATACAATCCAATGGACCAAAATATATTCATTATTAATCTTGGATATTTAAATTTAAGACTGAAACGTATTCGAAGAGTTGTTTTACCCTAAGCCAGATGGATATTCTGTTTGGAGTGAAGAGTCAAATAGAAATGTGGTGAAAGTTTATTATTTTCCTTAGAAGTCTCAGTTTGCCAGTTAATAACAAAGTGCCTATGCTGCCATAAACAAAACTGTAAGGGAAACATTTCCATTCTAATTCGATCCCAGTGTACCTAGGGGCCAAAAGGGCTTCAGAGATTGAAATTATAGTGAGCAGCCATTGCTTGGGAGAACTGTTTTATAGCAAATTAAATATTAACAATTTGTCAGATATGCCCCCATAAGAAGAGAATGCAAAAAAAAAAAAAAAACAGCAGTAAGAAAAGTGAAGGGAGGGGTTGGGAGAGAAGAAGAACAAGGAAGGAAGGAAGGAAGGAACGAACGAACGAACGAACGAACGAACGAACGAACGAACGAAGGAAGCACTGACTCTGTATCACAGAGATACAAAGCTGTCCCCATCTCTAGTGAATCAACCTCACAAAAAATCTAGAGCACTAGCCTGGCTAAATCAAATTTCCCAACTAACATTCTCTTAAGCTCCCCCAAATGATACACCCCTCCCTTCCAAAAGAAAAAAAAAAAAAACTGCCTTCGATTTTCTTAGATCTTGAAAGTGAAGAATCAGGTCAGTGATGCTGGTGTATGTACTACATGCCCTCCAAAATTTTAAACCAAAATAGCCTCTTAGTGGGTGACCTACTTAATAGCCTAAAGCAGAGGAACACCCTCCTTGTCATACTTTGTTTTCCTTCTTCTGTGCGACTGACTTAGGCTTCTTGAATAGTGTACACTCTGATAAGTCTTTGGAGTTTTATAGGACCTTATACTGGAGTCTGGGATTTTTCAGCATGACGCAGTAGAAAAAGCAGTGGGTAGAGCTGTGAATTCGATATAGCTGTGGGATCTTGGGCACTTAAAATATCTATGCCTCAGTTGTGTCATCTACAAAATGGGCAATAAAATTTGCTCTTCCTCACATGATTGGTGTAATTGCTTTGAAAAGCGTAAAATGCTATAGAAAAAAATCATTATTACTAAATATTTTCAGGAAAACTAAACTAACATTATTCAAAAACCCCGTCCTCTCTTTTTTTTAAAAAAAAACATCTTTATTGAAGTATAATTGCTTTACAATGGTGTGTTAGTTTCTGCTTTATAACAAAGTGAATCAGTTACACATATACATATGTCCCCATGTCTCTTCCCTCTTGTGTCTCCCTCCCTCCCACACTCGCTACCCATCCCTCTAGGTGGTCACAAAGCACCAAGCTGATCTCCCTGTGCTATGCGGCTGCTTCCCACTAGCTATCTATTTTACGTTTGATAGTGTATATATGTCCATTCCACTCTCTCGCTTTGTCCCAGCTTACCCTTCCCCCTCCCCATATCCTCAGGCCCATTCTCTAGTAGGTCTGCGTCTTTATTCCCGTCTTGCCCCTAGGTTCTTCATGACCTTTTTTTTTTTTTTTTAGATTCCATACATATGTGCTGGCATACGGTATTTATTTTTCTCCTTCTGACTTACTTCACTCTGTATGACAGACTCTAGGTCCATCTACCTCACTACAAATAACTCAGTTTCGTTTCCTTTTATGGCTGAGTAATATTCCATTGTATATATGTGCCACATCTGCTTTATCCATTCATCTGTCGATGGACACTTAGGTTGCTTCCATGTCGTGGCTACTGTAAATAGATCTGCAGTGAATACTGTGGTACAGGACTCTTTCTGAATTGTGGTTTTCTCAGGGTATATGCCCAGTAGTGGGACTGCTGGGTCGTATGGTAGTTCTATTTTTAGTTTTCTAAGGAACCTCCATACTGTTCTCCATAGTGGCTGTATCGATTTACATTCCCACCAACAGTGCAAGAGGGTTCCCTTTTCTCCACACCCAGCATTTATTGTTTGTAGATTTTCTGATGATGGCCATTCTGACTGATGTGAGGTGATACCTCACTGTAGATGTGATTTGCATTTCTCTAATGATTAGTGATGTTGAGCATCCTTTCATGTGTTTGTTGGCAACCTGTATATCTTCTTCAGAGAAATGTCTACTTAGGTCTTCTGCCCATTTTTGGATTGGGTTGTTTGCTTTTTTGATACTGAGCTGCATGAGCTGCTTGTAAATTTTGGAGATAAATCCTTTGTCAGCTGTTTCGTTTGAAAATATTTTCTCCCATTCTGAGGGCTGTCTTTTCATCTTGTTTATGGTTTCCTTTGCTGTGCAAAAGCTTTTAAGTTTCATTAGGTCCCATTTGTTCATTTTTGCTTTTATTTCCATTTCTCCAGGAGGTGGGTCAAAAAGGATCTGGCTGTGATTTATATCATAGAGTGTTCTGCCTATGTTTCCCTCTAAGAGTTTTACAGTGTCTGGCCTTACATTTAGGACTTTAATCCATTGTGAGTTTACTTCTGTGTACAGTGTTAGGGAGTGTCTACTGTCATTCTTTGACATGTAGCTGTCCAGTTTTCCCAGCACCACTTCGTGAAGAGCCTGTCTTTTCTCCATTGTGCATTCTTGCCTCCTTTATCAAAGATAAGGTGACCATATGTGTGTGGGTTTACCTCTGGGCTTTCTATCCTGTTCCAGTGATCTCTATTTCTGTTTTTGTGCCAGTACCATACTGTCTTGATTACTGTAGCTTTGTAGTATACTCTGAAGTCAGGGAGCCTGATTCCTCCAGCTCTGTTTTTCTTTCTTAAGATTGCTTTGGCTATACTGGGTCTTTTGTATTTCCATACAAATTGTGAAATTTTTTGTTCTAGTTCTGTGAAACATGCCAGTGGTAGTTTGACAGGGATTGCATTGAATCTGTAGATTGCTTTGGGTAGGAGAGTCATTTTCATGATGTTGATTCTTCCAATCCAAGAACATAGTATATCTCTCCATCTATTTGTATCATCTTTAATTTCTTTCACCAGTGTCTTATAATTTTCTGCATACAGGTCTTTTGTCTCCTTAGGTAGGTTTACTCCTAGATATTTTATTCTTTTTGCTGCAATGGTAAATGGGAGTGTTTTCTTAATTTCACTTTCAGATTTTTCATCATTAGTATACAGGAATGCAAGAGATTTCTGTGCATTAATTTTGTATCCTGATACTTTACCAAATTCATTGATTAGCTCTAGTAGTTTTCTGGTGGCATCTTTAGGATTCTCTATGTATGGTATCATGTCATCGGCAAAAAGTGACAGCTTTACTTCTTCTTTTCCGATTTGGATTCCTCTTATTTCTTTTTCTTCTCTGACTGCTGTGGCTTAAACTTCCAAAACTATGTTGAATAAGAGTGGTGAGAGTGGGCAACCTTGTCTTGTTCCTGATCTTAGTGCAAATGGTTTCAGTTTTTCACCACTGAGGACAATGTTGGCTGTGGGTTTGTCATATATGGCCTTTATTACGGTGAGGAAAGTTCCCCCTATGCCTACTTTCTGCAGGGTTTTTATCGTAAATGGGTGTTGAATTTTGCCCAAAGCTTTTTCTGCATCTATTGAGATGATCATATGGTTTTTCTCCTTCAGTTTCTTAAGATGGTTTATCACATTGATTGATTTGCATATATTGAAGAATCCTCGGGTTACTGGAATAAACCCCACTTGATCACGGTGTGTGATCCTTTTAATGTGCTGTTGGATTCTGTTTGCTAGTATTTTACTGAGGATTTTTCATCTATGTTCATCAGAGATATTGGCCTGCAATTTTCTTTCTTTGTGGCATCTTTGTCTGGTTTTGGTATCAGGGTGATGGTGGCCTCATAGAATGAGTTTGGGAGTGTTCCTCCCTCTGATACATTCTGGAAGAGTTTGAGTAGGATAGGTGTTAGCTCTTCTGTAAATGTTTGATAGAATTCGCCTGTGAAGCCACCTGGTCCTGGTGTTTTGTTTGTTGCAAGGTGTTTAATCACAGTCTCAATTTCAGTGCTTGTGATTGGTCTGTTTATAGTTTCTATTTCTTCCTGGTTCAGTCTTGGAAGGTTGTGCTTTTCTAAGAATTTGTCCATTTCTTCCAGGTTGTCCATTTTATTGGCATAGAGTTGCTTGTAGTAATCCCTCATGATCCTTTGTATTTCTGCAGTGTCAGTTGTTCCTTCTCCTTTTTCATTTCTAATTCTATTGATTTGAGTCTTCTCCCTTTTAGTCTTGATGAGTCTGGCTACTGGTTTATCAATTTTGTTTATCTTCTCAAAGAACCAGCTTTTAGTTTTATTGACCGTTGCTATTGTTTCCTCATTTCTTTTTCATTTATTTCTGATCTGATCTTTATGATTTCTTTCTTTCTGCTAACTTTGTGGTGTTTTGTTCTTCT